AGAGAGGGACAGGTGTACAAGCTACAGAGAGGGACAGGTGTACAAGCCACAGAGAGGGACAGGTGTACAAGCTACAGAGAGGGACAGGTGTACAACCTACAGAGAGGGACTCATGTACAAGCTACAGAGAGGGACACAGGTTCAAGGCCCCACACAGGTTCCTCCCACAGGTGAGCACACCCAGTGAGGGTGCAGGTGCTGGCATGGAGGTGCTGTTCACAGGCACACCGATCAGACACGTGATGCCACGACATTAAGGAGCCCCAGCCGCCCAGCAGCTGCTGCAGCCTCGGCTCAGGTCACCACAAAGGCGCCACCAGGAATCATGCCGAGCCTGAAACTGAGCTCTCACAGGCCTGATAAGCGGCTGCAGGGGCAGACTTGGGGCTCCCCAGGGCCGCAGCTGGGGCGGGGGGCCAGGGGACTGGGGCTGGGGGGCTCATCTCAGCATTCAGAGCTGCTCTGAATAAGACACTCTGGTTCCACGTCTTCCCTAAAGGCCTCTGCCCCCGGCTCCTTCCTTTTTCACAGCTCCTGCCCCTGACTGATGCCTTCTCCTGCCGGTCTCACCGCTCAGGCGCTGCCAGCTACATGGTGCACACAGCACCCATCCTTCAAGACCTGAAAACAGCAGCCCTGTGCTCAGCTTCCGAGCAGCACACTGTCACGCAGTCCTGGCTGGGCCTGAGCAGGGATGACCAAGGAGTCTCTGAAAACCACCTGAAAATCTCAAAGGATCTGAACCAAATTGGTGGCAGATGTCAGGGCAGAGAATTACCTCCTGACGTCGTGATTTATGCAGGGGAGAAATGGCTATACGCTCATGTGGACTCAAATCAAAATGATGTCCATCAATCCAAACACACCTCTCTTCTGGAGAAAGGGGAGTTGCTGGCCACCAGGACAGTGTTGGGGACACCATCAGTGACCCCAAGATGGACGCCTGGCAGTGGCTCTGAACGCCCGTGTCCACCTACAAAAGCCACTTTGTCCGCACAGTGAAGGCGTCCGATGTTGCAGAGGCCGACTCTAATTCCAGCCGGCACCCCCGCTGGCAGGTCTCTTGTCACCAGCCCCCAGGAGACCGGGAGCGCGGTGCCTGGCCCGCACGTGGATTGAGGAAGGCCAAAATCCACCGAGGCAGCGACCAGCTTCAGAGTTATCATGCAGTCTGTGACTTAATAATCCTGATTCAAGGCAATTAAAGACCAGGACACTCAAACAGAATCTCATGTAAATGGAGTTATTTTAACATGTCCCTCCTGAACGGCTATATTTGTAAATACCTGTAATTGTAGACAAGTAGTCATTTTCCATCTAATATCCCATTAAATGGGCTGAAATAAACCTAACCATTTGCTATTTCACCATTTTAACCAATACAATTAGGATATTTAAATTCACACTGATAAAACGTGCTAACACCATTTAAAAATGTCATTAAAAATGTCACATTCTCTGTGACTAACCTAGTGCTTTACTGCATTACCGTGACTTAGAGTTCTCCTGAGCACATGGACTACACGATGTATTTATCACACACACCCCGCCTGGGTGCCAAGCAGACGGCGAGGGGTAGACCCAGGTCAAGAGAATCATCTGTTTTCATCTCTGTGGCCTAATCTGTAGGGAGAAAGGTGAGCGATCCCCTCGCCTCCGAGCCCCGTGGAGAGTCTGCGGTGAGGCGGCTCAGGGCAGGGGCCACGGCGGCTGCGTAAACAGAGCCCGACTCCTCCTATTCCACGCACGCACTCGCGCGTCTGTGCGCTGACGAGGAGCTTTCTTTAAAATACGCCACCAAGAATGTGTCCTCATACCAAACCCAGGCCCCGGACCGCACTCAACAAAACTCACACAACCAGGTGGAGGTGGACCTGGGGCCCCCGGGCTCTGATGGGACCTGCTCTGCCGGGACCCCTGGCCCTGAAGTGGCCACCTGCCTGCTCAGAGTTCAGTCTTGGCTCCCCGGGCGCTCAGGGCCTGTCCACACAAAGGCTACCAGCTGCTGCTTGGCTGCCTGGTTAATCATCACTGTCCAACTTTTCAACCATTTCAGAGGCCACAGGACTGGGCTTGTGAAAGTGACAACAATTTAAAAACAGTAAGAAAAGGGTCACTAAGCCATAGCGCTGAAGAAAAGCGACGTCAGGAGAAAAGCGGCCTGCACCTTCCAGGAGAGCCAGCGTGGGTGCAGAGGTTACTGGGCCCGCAGCCAGCACTCCCCTCAACACCCCAAACACCCTCACCTGTCTCCAGAGTGGCACCTCCCAGCTACCCCTGCCTCGGTCACACAATGATGACCATGGACAGGGAGTACCGCGGGGCAGCACCTGAGACCAGGTGGTGTGGGGACCAGGGCGGCCCACACAGCGGCAGCTCACCTGCTCTCCGGCCGGTGGTGGCCATGCTGCTCCAGCCTGACCATGGGCTTCACCATGCCGCGTTCAGCCGTGCCGGAGCCGGAGGGGCCTCGCTCACCGTCCAGCCTGGAGGTACTCTGGGGAGGAAAACACCGTGAGTCAAGGCCAGCGGGTTGGCCCAGCTGCTTCTTCCCCAGAGCAGATGGAACCCGAGGCCAGGTGGGTGGACGGTGACACAGGAGAACACAGGCCAGGAGCCAATACAGCTGGAGACTGTGCACACGACACGCTGCAGAAGTCCACACAGCCGTCCAGACTGTGTGCACAGGACACACCTGGGCCCGACAACTCCAGTGCCCCCGTCTCTCTCTCCTTCTCATACACACGCACACAGAGTGACCAGAAGCCAGCACGGCAGCGCAGAGACTGTGTGCACACCAAAGCCCAGCCTGACAGCACCCCACTCTCACACGTATTCTCTGGACACCACCTTGTCTCTGGGTCCTGGTGCCTGAGGTCTCTCTCACTCCCGCTGTGCTCAGGACCCAGCCAGAAGAACACCTCGCCTCTGGGGTCGAGCCAAGACAAGGGGTCAAGGACAACGTGCTCCGGCTCGGGAAGGAGCTGTGCTCTGCGGGGCCCTGACTGTGGGATGGGGAAGAGCCAGGGCCTGGGAAGGCTGAATCGCCGTGGCAACAGCTCAGCTGGGAGGCTGCAGCCTCTATCCGGGGCCTTCCTGGACTCCAGAAGTCAAGACTATTTCCATCTTTACATGCTTGACCTCCAAAAACCTTTGTTAAATTAGATGAAGAGCAATGCAATATAAACTAAGAGGCTGAGCAGACAACTTATTAAGTGAATTATTGTAATTAAGGTTCTAAAACAAAGTGCACATGAATGACTGAATGAAGAACCAAGTCTTTGCAGCTTCCTCTCAAATTCCCACCAAGGGGCGCGGCAGTCCCACAGAGCAGGGCTCGGAGGCTGAGTGCTGCACGGACAGCGGCATGGCAAGGGGAGCTGGACGCCAGGAAGGAGCATGCACCTGCGGTGATGGCGAGCGAGCCGGCACTGCCGAGACAGAGCTGGCAGGAAGCACGGCGCACCAGGCCTGGCGCCAGGAGGTCCCCGGCCACCGGGCAGGGACAGTACGTGAACTGCTGTCGCTGTGTGCCAGAAAGTCTAAGCTGACCCCTAGCTGCCCCTGAAGCCCATCTTTCTCCTATGGAGCAGGTAATGGATTTGAACCACATGTCACAGGTTGGTAGTGTAGTTCCTTACCCATTAGGCTACCAGGCTGCCTTCCTTTGTTTTTATAAGAAATTATACTGTGCTCTGGAGAAGCTGAGTGCCATCTGAAGTGTGCAGAGGCAGGGGTTCTGAACTCAGCAGATGGTGACCTCACTGCCACTGATGGGCAAACGCTAGGGCAGCAGCCCCTATCCCACGGACGGGGCTAGGCCATCGGACCCTGAAGGCCCTTATCACATAGATGGGGCTAGGCCGTCGGACCCTGGAGGCCCTATCCCGCGGACAGAGCTAGACCATGGTACCCTGAAGGCCCTATCCCGTGGACAGGGCTAGGCTGTCGGACCCTGAAGGGGGTAGAATCCTGTGGAAGTTTCAGAAGACTGAGTGTCAGAGCCTTGCACAAGAAAGTGCAACCAGAGTGCTCCTAGATGCCAGGCTGGTGAAACTCTGGTATGAGATGGGGTGACTTTATCATCTGATAACATCACATGTTATCAAGAGGGGCCAGTCCCTGCACAGGAGGGAGAGTGTGGTCTGGAAGGGTGTGAGACGGTCAGCCAGGAGAGGCACAGTCTCCACTGAAGGGCAGACGGCGGCAGGACAGCTATCTTCAGACACAACCGGGCCAAAAAAGACAAGCCACACGTAGTACCAGCCCAGAGACGGCACTCTGTACACCGGAAGGCAAGCAGAACTGTCCCTGGCCTCGGCAAAGCCAAGAGCTGGCCACCTTGAAGGGTTCACCTAAAGATAGCACAGCGTGCAGCCAGCCACAAGGAGGGGACACGCAGACCTGCCAGAGGGCCAGACGAGTGGACGGGGATCTCTCCCTCCTAAGATTCAACACACAGGCCCTTCAGTGACACACATTAGGTACCTTGCTTGTTGGCAATGCTGATCCACTGTGAATATCGCCTTCCAAATCAAAAGTGGTCTCCTGAACAACTCTGCAGGCAGAAAAAGAAGCAAGCAGAATTAGTAACTTTCAGACGGCGAGACGGCCAGCCAGCCAACAACATCCCAAGGCCCACAAATCTGAAGCATTACCAAGTGCGGCCGCTTTTAGCATATGAACGGCTACTGTAACGTCATCAACTTCTCTTCCTCATACATACCAACTATTCCTAGAGTCTCTTTATAACAATCCTTTAATAACAAGAAATTGAAAGGAAGTGTGAGAAAGCAAGCTGTGACTAAACACGTGTGTCGAGGTCCCAAGGTGTGTGCGTGAACGGCGCAGAGACCAGCGTCCCCGGGGCAGCACCCACACGCACAGATGACGAGGCCCAACGGCTGAACACAGCACATTCCTGTGTGGGAGCTGGTCTGACCTTTTAAAGCGTGCATATTCCCCCAATTTAAGTGATTAAGAAACGATGTCACAGATTGAATTATGTTGTCCCCAAAACACAGGTACACACTGGTAAAATTCTAAAGCTATGAGATGATTCCCCTGTGATCTGATACCAGGTAACTGTGGGGGGCTGAAGAAGGGCACACGGCAGGCACCCTCGACCCCAGCCCAGCCCGACAGGAGCGTGGCCTGCAGCACCCGTCCACCTCCAAGACATAAATGGAGGAGGGCACGCTAAGTGGGGATCTCGGCCCCAGCAAGGAAGGCCGGCCCGGAGTGGATGTGTCCTTCCAGACACCACAACATGCAGGGGCTCCAGGGAACACCAGGCCCACAGAGGCAGAAACGAGGGCTCTTCTGCAGAAGACCTTTCCCCTAAGCTCGTGTACTCAGAACCAACTCAGCTGACCCTCCAGTGGTTTTCTGAGGCCGTGAGTCACAGCAGGACTCTCCACCATCGCCCTCGGCACTGCACCCAGCCTCTGGGTCAGCAGCACAGCCCGGCAGGCTACACCAGCAGAGCCACCCTAGGGGGACGTGTGTGTGTGTGTGTGTGTGTGTGTGTGCAAGCCCTCCATCGGGGCTCTGTTACAGCAGCGCTAGAAACCACGGCCACTGAGGACACGCCTCAGCTCAAAGCGTAGCAACGATTCTCCAAAAGGATAAACAGAAAATTACGAAATCATCTCTAAAATTTACAGGAAACTCCACATCTCAACAAGAAAAAGACAAACTGACTTAATTTGGGCAAAGGATATGCGACATCTCTTCACCAAAGAAACACTAGGACCAGTAGCTATTAGAGAAATGCCAATCAAACCATCCAAGAGATTACCAGGTCACCCCAGCAACAGCAGCAAAGTTCAACACGACTGCAAACAACCACAGGTGAGGGTGTGGACAGACGCCAACTCCGAGTGCGCAGCCGGGCGGTTCCTCACAAAGGGGGGGACCGAGCTGACTGACCCGGCAACCCCACAGGGGGATCTCACACTGAGGGACTCACGCCGTGTTTATTAGAGCACCGACTCTCACGGCAAAGAGCCAAAACCAAGCAAGGGTCCATCAACAGCCACAGAGCTAACACCTGACACTAGAAGACCTAAGTCAAACACAAAAAAGACAACTACTTTATTTAAAAAACCCTCAAATGTAAATAAATTCATTACCACTGAATCAGAAAAGACTCAGAGCTGGACCTCCAGTGCGTTTTCCGAGGCTCTGCAGCACCCAGGAGACTGTCCGTCTTTTTCCCATGAAGCAGTTGGGAGATTTAAACCACCTACCTTTAGAATGGCAACACAACTCCTTAACCCCCAGGCCAGAGTCTCAGCGGTCTCATGGCCTGTTTTAAAAGTTGGCCTAGTGGTAAAAATCTGCACTGCAATCCCAAAGGCACCTGGTTCAAATCTACCAGCTGCTCTGTGGACGGGCAGTCTCTTCTAGTGACTTAAGCCCCGGAAAACCCTCTGGAGGGTCAGCTCTGGGCCATTTCTGGCACATCCAGAAATCAAGACTGACACGCAGAATCAATCTGAGAGGAATGAAACAAGCTGGAAAGGAAGCAGCAAGTCAAAATGAACAGAGAAGCTGGGTGAAGAGAAACGTAATCAGACAAGGAGAGTGTGTTCAATATTAATCAATGGTTAAGAACAAAATGTCAGAGAATGACTGGAACTTTCAACAGGATTCATAAACATTCAACACAAATGAAAACCAATAAATACAACAAAAGTAATTTTTAAAAAAAATCTTCCTCACATTTTAACATGCACCTATATTGTATTTGCACATGTGAACAGTTCCAAAACGACTTTTTTCTTGACTGTGATGTTGCCCCATTATAAGCTCTGGTCCCAAAGCCCAGGCCTGGCCCCGTGGGCAGCAGAGAGCTCGAGAGCACAGACTGCCGTCACCCAGGCTCTGCGATGTGCCTGCACGCACGCGCAAGCACGGGCTACCGGCAACTCGCTGAAACAAGTCTCAGCTCCAATGCACAGAAGTGCTTTCCCACCTCTGAACGTCAGTGTCGGTACTGCTACGTTCAACCACGCAGCAGCTTTCGCTAGCTTTGCAGGAAGAAGTGCCAACAATGTGGAGGAACACTGCTGCCGCCGTCACGGGCTGTGAGTCGCTTGTGACTCAACAATAGCTCTGCACCCTGCATCGAGCCAAACGCACTGTCTCAGACACAGCTCCCCCAACCACCAAGTCAGTCCATCTCATCGAGGGCCGTCCTCTCCTGCGCTGTCCCTCCAGCTTCCCAAGCATGATGTCCCTCTCCAACGACTGGTCTCTCCTCACAACATGCCCAAAGGATGCCTGACAGAACTCCAAAAACCTCGCCTCCAAGGAGCAGCCTGGTTTCACCCTCTCCAGGACGAGCCTCTTTCTCTCTTAGCAGTCTAGCACCACAGCTCAAAAGGATCAATTTTTCTTCTATCACCTTTAGTCACTGTCCAGTTTTCCAATACATAGCAGGTACTTGTGAAGACCATGGCCTGGATCTGGTGCACTCTAGTCTCTAACTAGATACTACTGCTCCTCAGTACTTTATAGAGCGGTCCCTGACAATAATAGACTTTGCCAATTCATTTTTTGGTTTCCTGGCTGCTAGTACCAGGAGTGCTGACTGTGGAGCAGAGCAAGCTGAAGCCCTTACCAATCTCCATCCCTTCACCGTCTGACAAGATGCTGCCAAGCGACCCAGTGGTGAGATACTGTTAATTGGACGAAAAAATAAAGTGCACACAAGGAACGAATGCTGAAAAGAGAACGGCCAGCCAGAGGGCCCCCGGCGCAGGTCTGTGAAGGCCCTTCCTTAGCTTGGCCGTGGCTTTTATTTAGTTTAAACCAAAAATGAAAAAATTCCTTTCTAGTGAGGCTATTTTCCTTACACGAAGTGTTGCCACATGACGATGGGTACACTTAATTCTTAAACCAAGAGCAGGAGGATTCCAAGTCCAGGCAGAGTATCCACTCCGGTGGGAGGCTGGGCGGAACTGCTGGCAGGGGGCGTCCAGCCTAGACTCTGATCTCGGCTACAGTCTGGTTACCACTATGCAGAGCTAACACACTGAGAATTTTTGTGGGTTTTCTTTGTTTGTTTAATTATAAAATATTTTTATTTTGTGGAAATCACCTTGATGACATCACTATAAAGAAAAATGTGTTGCTTCAAACGCTTCTGCATGACTATATAAGGATGTTATACAGTGTGACTTTAAAACGGAAAAATAAACAAGCCCTTTGATTATAAACCCAAACTTATCCTATGTTTTCTAATATACGGATGATAAATGGTTAGAAGCATATAAATATATACTGGCTTTAATTCACTCAACAAATACATTTATGAATTCCATCTTCTTTTATGCTATCAAAGTCTAAGCCTGCATTCACTTTAATGAATGTGTCGAGTTAGTTGCGCTGTCAACAGTTGTTTGAGTTAATGGAATAGTCAGATTCTGTAAAACTGTTAAATTTTTTTTTAAATGTTTTAAAATGTATTATTAATTTCAATGAAAATTTACAGAGACTTTGGATTTCCATTCATTCATTGTTGCACTTTTCTCCCCTCCCCCTAGTACACTACCCTCTTGGAAAAGTAAAATTCTTTCATTGTTTTACAAACCCTCCCCCAGGTCCACTCCACTATGCAGCCTTTGCTCTGGACTCCTGTCATGACAAAAATACCTAATCACATATCCCTTTTAAACCCATTTTCTCCCTCATCTGTTTCAATGCAGTGTACATTACTGAACCCCTCTTTCTCAGTCTCCCTCCAACACCAATGTCGGTCCTGTTTTACAACAGTGGCACTATGCAATATTTGTCCTTTTGTGACTGAGATACTTCACTCAGCATAATGTCCTCCAGGGTAACTCATTTTGAATAATATTGCATGAGTTCCTTGTTTTTCAAAGCAGCATAGTATTCCATTATATATACCACAGCTTCTCTATCCATTCGTTTGTTAATGGGCACTTAGGTTGTTTCCAACTCCTTGCTATTGTGAACAAAGCCATGACAAACATGGGTGTGCATATATCTGCTTGGATGTCAGTTATGGTCTCTTTGGGATATATTCCCAGTAGTGGAACTGCTGGATCAAATGGTATCTCTATTTGCAACTTTTTCAGAAAGCGCCACACCGCCTTCCACAGTGGTTGCACCATTTTACACTCCCATCAACAGTGCATAAGGGTTCCAGTTTCTTCACAACCTTGCCAGCATTTGTTGTTTGCTGTTCTGTTAAATTTTGCTATTCTGACCGGGGTGAGATGGTATCTCATAGTTGTTTTGATTTGCATCTCTCTTCCATCTAAGGATTTTGAACATTTCTCCATGTGCTTGTTAGCCATCTGAATGTCTTCTTTGGTGAAGTGTCTGTTCATATCCTGTGCCCATTTTTCTATTGGATTATTTACCTTTATCTTGTGGTGGAGAATCTTTGTTTTCTTGATGTTGAGCTTCAATCCCTATCAAAGGCTGCAGTCTTTGACCTCCTGCAGCAAATACCTCAAGTCATCCTCAGTTTCAGCAAGCAAGGTTGTGTCATTTGCAAAATGCAGGTTGTTGCTCAACGTTCCTCCAATCCTGATGCCACATTCCTTCTCATAGAGCCCAGCTTCCCAGATGATCTGTTCTGCATACAGATTGAAAAGGTATAGAGACAGGATGCATCTCTGGCATACACCTTACCGGATTCTGAACCATGCAGTGTTTCCGTGTTCTGTTCAGACAACTGCCTCCTGGTCCACATAAGGTTCACATAAGCGCAATCAAGAGTTCTAGGACTTGATTCTTATCAGACTTGGCCAGAGTTTGTTGTAATCCACAGTCAAATGCCTTTGCAAAGTCAATGAAATAAAGACAGACATTCCTCTGGTGCTCTCTGCTTTCAGCTAAGATCCATCTAACTTTAGCGATAATGTCCCCACAGCCTCTTCTAAACCCAGCCTGCACTTCTGGCAGTTCTCTGTTGATGTGTTGTGCCAGCTGTTTTTAGATAATTTTCAGCAGGATCTTGCATGCAATAGAAATGATATTATACAATCATTTCTATACTTTGTCAGTTCACCTATTTTGGGAACTGGAAGAAATAAGGATCTCTTCCAGTCAGTTGGCCAGGTGGTTGTCCTCCAGATTTCTTGGTACAACCTGGTGAGCTTGTCCAGGAGCGTCTGTTTATTGAAATATGTAAACAGGTATGTCGTGAACTCCTGGGGCCTGGTTTTCTGCCAGTTTCTTCAGAGCAGACTGAACTTCCAACGGCTCATGATCACCCATTGTTAGATGAAATTCTTCTGTGTCGGCCAATTCTGTCTGGGACAGTGACTCTGTATACACCTCCCGTCTTCTTCTCACGCTCCCTGGATCATTCCCTAGCACACCCACAGCACCCTTAAGTACTGCAATCCTCCCCGTATGTTTCTCTCTGCACCCACCAACACGTGTGTTCACGCCTGTTCTCTGCCTGCCCAGAGAGAGACACAGCAAGGAGGGACAGGGCAGAGTCCCGAGGGAAGACCACCCAACAAGGGGGACTTCCTCACACACTGTCAGAACCTCGAACAAAACAGAGGGCTGACTGTGACACAGGGACAGAGGGCATGAGATGCTGTGACACTCCGTAGCCACATGACAAAGCAGCAAACAACGAGAGGCACAAGGCTTTAGGCAACACAGAGGCAGCGTCCTGTAAGCAAGCGGCCACACGGTGAGCCGGGCACCTGGCGGCAGAGCCGGGCACTGTGCAGCCTGCCCAAGATGGTGGCACGCTTCCTTCCATGAAACCTGCACTGCGAGGGGCGGGCTCAACTCTCGGAGAAGGCTTCCTTCCACAACAGGGCAGGAGGGAAAAACGAGGAACACCCCGTGCTCCCCGATGCGGACGTGCAGGAAGACGCTGTGTGAGTGGAGTTATCTAGAAGGCGCCAACGGGAGGACATGGTGCCCCCCTGAGCGCCAGTACAGGCGCTGATGAGCTGAACACGGGGACACGGGGTGTCCTTCTCCCTAAATGAAGAGGGAGACACCACCATGGGCTGGACCTCAACAAAGAGGTCCCTGCCCACTCGTCCCTTCCTCTGCCAGGACTCACAGCAGACACAGAATGGAAATGGAAGCCACATATACAGGCTGGCTCTCAGGACCCTCAGAAGGAGTCCCCAGTGCACACAAGCTAGCAGAGAACACACATGTGTGCATTGCCCTGGCCAGAAGCTACCAGAGCCAAAGGCCACAGGAAGGACCCACACAGGGCAGTGTACTACTGCAGCTGCTTTTCCAACCCTGGAGTACTGTCATCAGTAAGCAAGTGGTCCTGTCCCTGGACAGCACATCACAGTACTGAAGATCCACTAGCAGCCCTTTTCCCTGCTCCAGGCCCTGATGGGGTCTCAGGACTCCTGCTTCCACAACAGGTCATCCTGCATGGCCTCAGGGCAGCACCAGAGGGCGCCAGAACTCCCGATGTCCTCACAGTCACACCTGCCAGAGCCCAGGTAGAGGGCAGGACCCGAGTCACACCTGCCAGACCCCAGGCAGCGGGCTGGACTCCTGGATGCTCAGTGCTGACTCTTGCACAACGTCCAGTCACTGATGACAGCCCGTTGGCAGCAGGCAGCTCTGGCACCCTCAGAGGGCAGGCTCTGACACAGGTGAAGAGCAGGCACCCCCTCTGGCTGCAGAGGCAGCTTCTTCTGTCCAGTCATCAGCCGGGCTGACCACCGCGGTCCCCACGGGCACGGTGGTGCGCCGCTCTCCTGCTCACGCCGTCTACCACTCCACTAACTACCAACAGAAGAACAACCCAAGAGGAAGTCCCAGTTATGTCAAATGTGTCAGCTAAAAACAATGACAACTCTCGGAGCAGCAGACCTCAGGTTTGTAAAATGAGGGATTAAAGGCCATCCTGTCCCTCCCTCCATGTGACACATGAACAATCAGGCCGGACGCGGACCAGCTGAGGACCAAGAAATGGGCACGAGCCCACTCTGGGAACTGAAAAAGACCACCCCAGCATCACACCACCTGACCAGCCCTCGGGGCACCGGACACTCACCCTGCTGGGTGTCGGGGGCCCTTGACCACCAGGCCCCCATCCACAGACCGCTTGGCCAGCATGTGATCCTGGCTGGGGTCCACGAACTTGAACACATGCAGCGAGCCAAACTGGACCTTCATGCCTGTCTGCAGCATGGTGGTCTCTGAGATCCGCTGGCCCTCCACATAAGTCTCGGCGTCCATGCTCCTCGGCGTGACGGTCACAACGCCGTCCATGTTGGTGAGGTCACAGTGATGGGGCTGGATTCCTGGGCCAAACAGCTACAAATGAAAGAAACACTCAATGCCATGCAGAGCATTTAAAAACGGGATCGCAAAACCACGCGTTTCCTCTCCTACAACGTGACACACACAGGACGGTCGGCGCCTGTGTCAGAGCGTGTCAGGAGTGTAAGAGGTGTAAGCGCCGGCCCATCTGAGTGCACGTGGGGGCGCATTCTACCCACTGGGTCAAGTTCATCATCAAACAGCATTTCAGTAATTCCACATTTGGTTTTACCACCATCCAATGACTTGACTTGCAGCCTGTCTCAACTGCTGGCTAGAAAGCCCGTGGACTGTGGACCAGGTTTGCCAGTTTAAGGACACACTCCCCTCTACGACGTCAGGATGAGGTCTCGCTGTCTGCTTTCGGGTCACACTCAAAAGACAGGAGCCAGGACTGAGTGTGACACACACACATGACCCCGCCTTGTGAGTGGGAAAGCACAGTCCAGAGAGAGGACACTCCACGGGCTGGTGGGGGATGCCCTCACCATGACTTCCTCACAGTCCGTGGGGAAGTGTCAAGCCAGGGACAGCACACCCCACTGGCTCCGATATCCCACTCTGAGTGTTGACCACACCATGGTCCTACCCATGCTTGGAGGAAAGTGCAGCTGAAGCCTGGGAGGTTCTTGGAAGTGGACATGCAGACGAGGTAAAGCAGCAGAGCTTCCCTGCGGACTCAGGGTTCACCACCTGTCCTGCCTCCGCCCGGCTCCCCACCTCGCAGATACAGTACTGGGACCGAGAGGTGGCCAGCCCCCACAGCACTGCTCACCTGGATGGAGTTGTCATCAAACTTCTCTGTCCCCACCTCTGTGACACTCAGCTGCAGGCGGTACAGCTTTGGCTTATCTCTCGAGTCGGAACCATCTGTGAGAAGAGACCACAGCTGCCTCTGCAATGCCCAGCACTCTCTTCATCGGACGGGCGCTGCAGAGCTCGCTTCACAAACGCTCCACATTTCCAGCCCACGGTTAACAGACGGGCTGGAGGACACAGCTATGGCAGCCCAGGTGACCTGAGACAGGCCCGTCCTCAGAGCTCACCCTGGCTGGAGGGGGGTCCCACACGACTGCAGTGACGGTGGTGGGAGCTGCCTGGTTCTGCCAGCCCCAACTGTGCGTTTCCACACGCCTTCCTTCCCAAATCACCACCACTCCACTGCCTCGTGCCCAGTGCCGTTTCCCTGTGTTAAACACCCTCTGTGTACCCCACGGCCCTCACCTGTGCCCCTCATGACCCCCGCCCTCTGTGTCCCCCCACGGCCCCCAGCTGTGTCCCCTTCACAGCCCCCACCCATGTCCCCCACACCCGTCTGTGTCCCCCACGGCCCTCGGGCTGCCCCTTCTGTCCCCAGCAGCCCACTGCCCTGTGCCTGCTGGTCTCCCAGTCTCAGTCCCCAGGGCTAGTAGGCATTAAAGTGGCTTCATCTTAGCACCCAGCACTCTCTGATGCTTCCCGGCAAATATTTCTGAAGCTCTCAACAAAAAACATATACACAGTGAATAATGATTAAAATAAAGCAAATAAATTAACACACAAATATTACACAAATCAGGATAGTAAAAGAAACAAACAGGCTATCAAGGGAACAATCTGCATAGATACAGTTAAGGATTTGAAAGCAAGGTCTGCTTACAGGTAAAAAGCCCTCTGAACTCTGAAAGCTCTGAGAACTAGCTTGTAAACCAATGAATGAAAAAGCCATACATCCTTCCATATCAAAGCATTTAAAATTGAAAAAGCAAGGAGACAAACTCCCTCCCTCCTCACCCTCACGTCCACTTCAGTTCACAGCAGAAGTCTACCAGCAGTTGATAATCATCTCCTTTCCTACCCCCGGTAATCATCCTCGGGGTGCAGAGTCTCGAGTCTCGGTAAGCAAACGTGAGCCACGGAGCAGGAGATGTGACGGGAGAGCATCAGGGAGAAAGGGCGGGGGCAGTGGACATTCGACAACCTTGCTTATTCTCACAGCCCATTTCACTCTCATTTTATGAAAAGCATAGGGGTTACAGACAGTACCAACCAAATAAAACTGTGGCCAAATAAATAAAAATTCCAAAAGCCTCAGTGGTTATTCCGCACGCAGTCCACTGTGTCTACTTGCTTCCTTGTGTTTTATCGACTATGCAAAGGCATCTGACTGTGTGGATCATAAGAAATTACGGCCAACATTGAGAAGATGGGAATCCCAGAGCACGTCATTGTGCTCTCGTGAAACCTAGACCTAGGGGCTGCTATCCAAACAGCAAGTGAACACCGTGCCGTGGAAGGTTATGCAGTACGTCTTAGGGAGGATGTGCATCCCGGCAGTATCCTTTTTCCACACCTATTTAACATGTACACTGAGCAACTAATTAAAGAAGTGGGAGATTCTATGAAGAACACGGCATCAGGATCAGAGAAGGACTTATTAATAACCTTTGTTATGCAAACAGCTTTGTTTGTTGAAAGTGAAGAAGACCTAAAGCACTTACTGTTCGAGAAGATCAGAGATTACAGCCTTCAAGAAAACAAAAATCCTCGACACTGGACCGACGGGCAACATCATGGTAGACAGAGAAAAAGACTGAAGTTGTCAAGGACTTCCTTTTACTTAGATACACAAGGCAAAGAAGAATCTAGACACACTGCCACTGGGAAATCCGCTGTTAAGGACGTCTCCGCAGTGCTAAGGAGTAATGATGTCAGCTGAAAGACTAAGGTGGCTTGATTTAACTGTTTATGTATATGAAAGTTGGTCAGTGGATGAGATGGCAAAAATCTATTCTTCTTTGGAGAAGAATACTGGAATCGCAAGGTCTGTCCAAACCACCAGTCAGTCTGCCTTAGGCTCCGTGAGTCTGGACTCCAGCAGAGGTCAGGACGGTGTAAGACATGTGGGGGGAGAGCCGGTGCCCACAAGGTCCCTGTGAGGCACAGCTGACTCCTGGCACCTAATGGTAATAGAGCTTATTCTGGGTAACGCAACTGAAAAAGAAAGTCTCTACCTCTCCTACACAGAACTGGCAGAAAACTACAAATTCACACACAAGTTTTCGCATTACTCCATTATTTAAGTATTAACGTACGTGAAACAATATTAACACACACAAGAGATCAAATTTAGAATAAAATAATGACAATTTTAAACATTTTCAGACACACTATGCTCACGCTAATATAAAACGCACACACACTCACAGCCATCAAGCATTCCTAAGCCTCCTGAAAGGACACGAGAGCTGTCCTGCTCGCTCCAGGCTGCCGAGTTTTACAGAGGTAGAATGCTGGTTCAAGTCCAAGTCGTCAATCAGCAACCTAGCACCTACCCCAATGCCACAGACCCTTCTGAGTCACAATGTGAACAGGCAGGCCCGTGGCCCTGTGGTGTGATGCTAACTCAACGGGCAGTGATGCAACACACCAACCACTACTCAGAGAAGAGGTGTCCTCTCCTGCCAGCGGCTTCCGGTCTCGGGAACCGATGGAGGCCCACCGTGACGGTAAGTTGGAATCCATTTGAGAGCAATGGGTGTGTGTGTGGGTGTGTGTGTGTGTGTGTGTGTGGGTGTGTGTGCGCGCGCAAAACGTCTAAAACACAAAAGATGCTTTTCAATAAAGAAAAGGTGCTGAACTGCGTAAGAGACGGAGACACACAAAACAGGCAGTGTGCAGTCCAGCTGAGGGGCTGTGGCCAGCAGGGTTTGGAGGGCCCAGCCTGCAGGAGGACCCAGGGCAGGAGTGAGGACGGAGGCAGGGAACGGCCCTTCCAGATGACATGACACAGCCCCTCACGTGACACCCCCTCAGCACCCCGTCACGGCAGCAGCTCCCGCCCCACCCCCCGCCCCTCTCGGCACACGGTCCTCTGGGGGGGAAGAGGGGCCGTGCACACTGGGAGCCAACGACCTGAACTCTGGACACAGCGTTTCTAGCATCACCTGAGACACAGCCACATGGTCCGCGAGTGAGCGGCCTGTGGGAGCGGCGTGGGGCGGGCATTACCTTCGTGAGGGTGGTAGCTGTAGCAGGCAAAGTGACTCCTTCTCCCTGGGGGGACACATGCACAGGCCCAGGTGAAGGCCGTCAGCAGGAGAGCAGAGCGGGAGGAGAGAAAAGACAGGAGCGTGTGAAAGCACAGTGAGGACCTCGCCAAGGCAGCCGCACAGTGAGAAGTGCCCATCACCCCGAGCCAGCGAGGGCCCGACAGACCCTGGGAGACACGAAGAACAGGGGAGCCCCGCACCTGGGAGAGCCCGGGTCCACTAATCCTTCGGGGACCTGGACAGGCTCGCCTAGCATCGGCCCAGACACCCTCACCCTCCAACACTGCCCCAGCGCACAGGACTCAGTGCCTGGAGGAGGCCAGCCGAGAGATGACCCCACAGCAGCCTGCTCCCTGCTGCTCCCGTCTCCCACGTGACAGGAGGCCCGTGTGCATGTGGCGTGTGTGTGACACAGCGCTGGCTCCACGGCCCGCCCACCACCGTGACAGTCTGGTCCATCAAGGCCCCTGGGTCCCACCCACCTCAGTCACAGGAACAAGACTGACCAGGGAGAGGAGTGTGGCCCCAGGGTCCTGGACAATGTGGTGTCTGTTGTGAAGGTCGAGGACAAAGCGGGGTCCCTAGCAGGAAGAGTGAGAGTGTCGCAGGAAGGGACACGAGCACGTGGACACTGGGGAGGAGAGCTGCTCAGGGAAAGTGCTCTCAGGCCATCAAGATTCCTCCTGGTGGTCAGGTCTTTAGGGCGGCTGCACTGCGGCAAAAAGAGCCCGTGGCTGAGACACCAAGGAGGTACTGTGAGGAGGCTGGCCTGGCAGTGTGGACAGAACTGTGTGGACACAGCAGAGGCGAGGGGTGTGGTCAGCACAGGGCAGGCAGTGTGGACAGAACCGCGTGGATACAGTAGTGAGTTGAGGGGTACAGTCAGCACAGGACAAGCGGGGTGGACAGAACCACGTGGACACGACAGTGAGGTGAGGGGCCTGGTCAGCATGGGACAGGGGACGTGGAAGGAGCCGCTGACCAGGTTCAGGTGCTGTGCACACAGCAGCGGGTTCTCAGCCTCGGCCTGACCAGGGCAGTGTTGACAAGCACATGAACACAGCGCCCTTTCTTCCGTCTGACCGTGGGGACGTCCTCTGTTCTGACAGGTGAGCTGCAAGTATGTGGTCAGCTGGTAGAGCTCCTGGGAGGTGGCCTGTGAGCCCGAAGGCTGACCTCGGAGCCAGCTGGGTACACTCCCCAGGACTGGCACGCCCTGGTGTGGGGTCACCTCACCCGCCTCTGTGTGAAGGTGCTGGGAAGCCAGCGGCATGTGACTGGTATGTGACGTGCAGTGCCCAGGTCTGGTGGAAAGCAGGGCCGTGGGAAACACTGCTCCAGAACGGAGTGACATCCAAACGCGTGCCAGCGGCACCGACCGGGTTAAGACCCGGGCCAGGCCTGGGGCGGCTCCTACAGCTCTTACTACTGGGTCTCTAAGATCTGAAAGGATCTACCTCGAAACAGATAAGAAGCAGCTGGAGGCTAATGGAGGAAGAGCGGGCATCCTCCTCCTCTCTGCTGACCACAAGGTCACCTTCCACCTTCCCACGCTGACAGCAATCCCTCCAGGTGATTTCTCACCCACCTCGACCTCCAACACAGCTTGTCAGGAACCTGCGCTAACCAGAGAACTCCGTGCGACATTGTAAGGGCAGATCCAAGGGCCCAACATGGTCCAGGGAAAGGTTTCCATGGACACACCCACAAACGGCCATCCCCATGCCACCTCGGACACGCGGGAACCCCGGCCCGGTCCACACCACGGACCTTCAGTGTATGTTCTGCACAGCCCGCAATGGAAACGCCACCCCAACCCTCAAGTACAAAGCCCACTGGAGCCACAGAGCTGCTGACCGTACCAGGGCGACCTGCAGAAGTCCTCTGCACATCAAGGGGCCCCGAGGAACGGCGGTCCACAGCTGCACAGCCAAGCGTCACCTAACCGTAACCGAGGCAGCGGGAAGAAGGGAAAACGCCCGAACCCGAGAGGAGGGGCAGCGCCCGTGCCGGCAGCCCCGGCCACCACGGCCTGCTCACCTCAGCTACCTTTCCTGTCACTACCAAGCGGGCTTTAAACCCCGTTCAAGGTGGGGGAGGAGCAAGCAGCTGGCTTGTCACACGTGTAACACGAGCCACTGTCACCCTTTAACCAAAGGCTCCCTAACCGACACAGTGTTACCGTAGAGAACGTCAGCACATTCACTAGCTGAGAGCTCTCTAACTTAAGGCCGAGAACACGTGAGAACAAGCTGACACAACCACACCGGCCGCCCTCTTCTCACAGGGCATCAGTCTTGGATACACTGTTATATGTAAAGATCCTCAATGCAGACACAATTCACGCATTGACAGACATACAGATACCTAGATCCCTCTACTGTATCTGCCCCAAGAGAAGTCAATTCCAGCCTGCCACGGGAGAGCCACTTAAAGGGAGATCTTCTCTCTATCCACAACTTACAACTTCATTTCTCACTACGCGCCTTCTCCTCAAGAACGTTCTTTCCAAGCACGAGCACGTGCCCCGTTCACCTACTTGTTCTCTGTTGTGGTTTTTTTTTTTTTTCTCTGTTGTGTTTTAAGTGGCCTCATGTGGAAACGGATTTGAAGTCCAGACTATGTTGCCAGTCCACAGAAAGGCCATGGACACGCATTCGTCAGCAAGCACTAACACCTAAAGTGGGCATCACCTTCCCCCGGAGGTCACGGCACGCCCCTGCTCACCTGGGCTCAGTTCCACCAAGTAGGGCAGCTTCTCGGGGGGCAGAGAGGAGCCGTAGGCCGAGGCGTCAGGCCTCTCCTTCCCCTTGAGCGTCTTCCCGTCTGGCTGTCGCTTTGTTCGCTTTGGGATGTGGTCTGCAGGCCGTCTCTTCAGCTGGAAGACTAAAAGGCCTGGAACAGTAACATTCCCAGTCATGGTCCCACTCTGCCTGAGGGGGGTCCGGGCACTGCTCACCACGTGTGCCAGATGAGGCGAGAAGATGCCAAGAAGGAGGGACACCTCCCGGGGGCAGGTCTCCCACACTTCTACCCAGAGCTGGGCTCGCATGGGTGCTGACCAACTCCAGCCACGAGACCAGAGAGGAGTCGAGGAGCAAGTCAAGCCCCAGGCCTGAAAGGAACACCCCTTCAACTGCAGCACATGTGACGGGCTGCATCCGAATGAACAGTGGCTCTGGTGGCTAAGTGGTTAGGAAGCGTGCTGCCAACATAAAGGCATACGGTTCCAATCCACCGGCTGCCCTCAAGAAGGCCGCCTCTCCCACTGATATCAAGCTGATGTGTACTCACAGCAACCCGACCAAACAGAGCAGAACTGCCCCCAGGGCTTCTAAGACTGTAAACCTCACAGATGTGGCCAGCTGCCACATCTTCTCCACTCTGGCTGGCCATACAAACCATCAACCTTTTGGACAGCAGGTGAGTAGTTTGATGACCTGGCACCATAAAAGCTCATTAAAATATCTACGGTGTTAGGAAGTGCTGTCGAACCACCTGTTAAGTTACCCTAAAGAGACTGTAAATTGCACAGGAGAAGAGTGATCATCTCTCTCTTGTGGAGGTTCCTACTGTAATTTGAATTATTCTAGCTACAAATCCACTTACTGTAATACATCTATAAAACAACTGCTAATACAGAATTGGAATAAATAACTGTGGCTCAAAATTGAAAAGAAAAAAAAAAAGGCCGTTTCTCCTCGTGCTACCTGCCGCCTCGGAAAGCCTGCTGGTGGGTATGTAATACATCCAGACAACGCTCTGGGAAGTGAATACATAAATAATGCACATAATGATAAAAAATGTATTTTTATTTAATTCAACCCAATTACTTAAGCCTTCAAGCAGCTTGCCTATAAATGAGGAATAAAGTCTAACTTTCCAGCGCAGACACGGCTGCTGCAGCAGCAGGAGGCGGCCAGGAGTGGCCTCTCGGAGGGACTCCCTCCTATCTTTCTTTTTCCTACGTGGGTTAGTCTGCTGAAACAAACACTCTACGTGTAAACACTGGCACGACGGGCTGCAGACACCCTTTTCTGTCTTTATTCACACAAAGCCTTGTTCTGGCAGCAGTCAGCTCACACTAGGAGGCTGCTCTTCTCTGCTTGGGAGCTGTGTCAGAGTGGAAACCTGGGTCCAGCAGCCAGCAGACGAGACTGCTCAGCCCTGGGAAGCCCACAGGCCTGTCCACTACCTCGGCCCAGAACAACTGTGCCCAACGACCACCAGCTCGCCAGCCCTGTGTGGGAGCTCCAGGACCACAGCCCTGGCCTCAGCACTAATAGTCTGGCCATGTCAAGGCACGGGTCCTCTTCTGAGCAGTAACGCAGCCTGCCCAAGGCCCCTGAGAATCCAGCACAGGATACACCGAGCGGCCGAGGGACAAGCCAACCACATCCGAGCCATGCAGCCTGCCAATGAAAGGGGCACCAACCACCTCAAAGAGCCCTCAGGAACCTGCCTGCCCTCAGCACGTCTGCCGAGGGGGAACCCAACCCCCCATGCAGCCATCCACGCACAGCAGCCCT